TTTTTGACGGTTTTTTTTTTTTTGATTTTCGGGGAATTTTTGGGGATTTTTTTTTTTTTTGGATTTTCTGGGATTTTCAGGGAATTTTTTTTGAGGTTTTTTTTTGGATTTTCTGGGGATTTTGGGGGGGAATTTCTGGGATTTGGGGGGGATTTTTTTGGGGAAATTTCTGGGATTTTCTGTGATTCCTTGGATTTGCCATTTTTTTGGGGGGTAGGATTTTTTGGGATTCCCTGCAATTCCCGTAATTCCCGCCACCACCCAATCCCAAACATCCCAGAAGCCCAAACCCCCGATCCCGAATCTCCTGCGGAACCCCCCGGAACGCGGAATTGCCGTTTTCCCGCAGCTGTGCCGGCGGCACAAGGTGGGAATTCTGTACTGCCGGGCGGGGCAGAGCTCGGAGGAGGAGATGTACAACAACGAATCCGCCGGGCCCGCGCTCGACGAGTTCCTGACGCTCCTGGGAGAGAAAGTTTCCCTCAAATCCTTCCCCAAGTACGCGGCGCAGCTCGACACCAAGAGTGAGTGCCGGCTTTTCCCGGGGGCTGGGGGATTCCAGGAAAGGATTCCGAGAGTTTGGGGGATCTCAAGGGTTGAAGGGTCCCAAGGGTTGAAGGATTCCTGGAGCTGGGGGATCCCAAGAATTGGGGGATCCCAAAGATTGGGTGGAAGATTCCAGAAGTTGGGGGATCCCAAGGGTTGAAGGATCCCAAGAGTTTGGGGCAATCCCAGGGTGGTCCCAGTTGGTCCCAGTTGGACCCCGAGAGCGAGATTTGGGATTTCACCGGATCCGCGTTCCGGGATCTCACCGGATCCGCGTTCCGGGATCTCACCGGATCCGCGTTCCGGGATCTCACCGGATCCGCGTTCCGGGATCTCACCGGATCCGCGTTCCGGGATCTCACCGGATCCGCGTTCCGGGATCTCACCGGATCCGCGTTCCGGGATCTCACCGGATTTGCTTTTCCCGCTTTTCCGCAGCCGACTCGACGGGCACGCACTCGCTCTACACCACGTACCAGGACTACGAGATCATGTTCCACGTGTCCACCATGCTGCCCTACACCCCCAACAACCGCCAGCAGGTACCGCCGGAACATCCCGGGAATCCGCTCCGCAGAGATCAGCGCACCCCAAGGCTTGGGGGGGGGGGGAGGGCAGAAATCCGGGAATCCCAAGGGTTGGATGATCCCAGAAATCTGGGAATCCCAAGGGTTGGGTGGAAGATCCCCAGGGGTTGAAGGATTCCAAGAGCTGGAGGATCCCAAGGGTTGGATGGTCCCAGAAATCAGGGAATTCCAAGGGTTGGAGGATCCCAAGGCTCGGATGATCCCAGGGTTGGTTGAGGGATCCAAGGGTTGGAGGATCCCTGAGATCAGGGAATCCCAAGGGTTCCAGGAATCCGGAAATCCAAGGATTCCAAGGATTGGGTGATCCCAAAAGTTGGTTGATCCCAAGGATTGACGGATCCCAAGGACTGATGGATCCCAAGGATTGGTTGATCCCAAGGATTGATGGATTCCATGGATTGGTTGATCCCAAGGGTTGAAGGATCCCAAAAGTTGGTCGATCCCGAAAGTCGGTCGATCCCAAGGATCGCAGCCTCCCAAGAACCGAACGATCCCAAACCTCACTGGGACCCCCCCAGATCTCCATCCCAGCCATTCCCAATTCCTTTTTTTTCCTTCTCCCAACCTTTCCGTTCCCAGCTGCTCCGGAAGCGCCACATCGGCAACGACATCGTCACCATCATCTTCCAGGAGCCGGGCGCGCTGCCCTTCACGCCCCAGAACATCCGCTCGCACTTCCAGCACGTCTTCATCATCGTCCGCGCCCACCAGCCCTGCTCCGACAGCGTCTCCTACAGGTGGATCCCTCTGGATTCCCTCTGGGTTCCCTTTGGATCCCCCCCGGATCCCTCTGGATCCCGCCGGAAAAAAATCCCGGAAAAAATCCCGGAAAAAATCCTGCAAAAATCTTGAAAGCAATCAGCAAAAATCTGGGAAAAAATACCATAAAAATCCCACAGAAAATTCCACAAATATCGCTCAAAATTCCTGCAAAAAATTCGTTAAAAATCCCACAAGAAGTTCCTCAAAAATCCTGTAAAAAATTCCTCAAAAATCCCATAAAAAATTCCTCAAAAATCCCGCAAAAATGTCCTCAAAAGTTCCTTAAAAATCCCGCAGAAAATTCCTTTAAAATCACGCAAAAATTTCCTCAAAAGTCACGTAAAAAATCCTGCAAAAATCTTAAAAAAACCTGTAAGAATTCCCCCAAAACCCTCTCAAATCCCCCCAAATCCACCCCAAACCCTGTCAAACCCCCCCAAAACCCTCTCAAATCCCCCCAAAACCCTCTCAAATCCCCCCAAAACCCCCTCAAATCCCCCCAAAACCCCCTCACATTCCCGTTTTCCCCCCCAGCGTGGCCGTCACCCGCTCCAAGGACGTCCCTCCCTTCGGGCCCCCGCTGCCCCCGGCCGGCGTCACCTTCCGCCGCTCCGAGCTCTTCCGCGCCTTCCTGCTGGCCAAGGCCATCAACGCCGAGAACGCCGCGCACAAATCGCACAAGTTCCGCACCATGGCCACGCGCACGCGCCACGAGTACCTGCGGGACCTGGCCGAGAACTACGCCGGCGGCTCCCCGCTGGACACGGCCGGCAAGTTCAACCTCATCTCCTTGGCTTCCAAGAAGAAGGAGAAGTGCAAGGCGCGGCCGTCGGCGGAGCTGGACAGCGCCGGCGCCGTCTCCTGGCGCGTCTCCGCCTCGGATTTCGGGCGGGGCGGGGCGGAGATCCCGTGCGTTCTGGGGATCTCCAAGGAATTCGTGGTCCTGGCGGATCTGGCGGCCAAGGAAGTGGTGTTTAACTGTTTCACCGGGGACGTGATCGGCTGGAGCGCGGAGGGGGCGGCGCTCAGGATCTACCACGGCCGCGGCGACCTGGTCAGCGTCCGGGCGGGCGCCGACGGAGCCGAGGGATCGGGGGCGGAGGAGGTGAAGGAAATCGTGCAGAGGCTCAAGGTGAGGGGGAATTGGGAAAAATCCGGGATTTTGGGGGGAAAATCGAGGAAGAGGAGGGGGGAAAATGAGGAAAAATTCCCGTCTTCTTGGGATTCTCTTCGGGACTGGGGGATTTCTGATCCTGTGGGGGGGTTTGGGGCGGATTTCTGGAATTTGGGGGGATTTTGTGGGATTTGGGGAGTTTAGGGGCTGAGATTTGGGATTGGAGATTTTCTGGGATTTGGGATAATTTCCTGGGATTTGGGTTTTTTTGGGGGGATTTCCCAGGATTCGGAGTTTTATTTTTGGATTGGGGATTTTCTAAGGTTTGAGTTTTTGTGGGGGGTGGGATTTTCTGGGATTTGGGGATTTCTAGGATTGGGGATTTTCTGGGATTTGGTGATTTCTAGGATTGGGAATTTTCTGGGATTTGGGGATTTCTAGGATTGGGGATTTTCTGGGATTTGGGCGGTTTAGAGGGGGAGATTTGGGATTGTGGCATTCCTGAGGTTCGGGGAATTCCCGAGATCGGCCAATCCCAAAGATTGCGGAACCCCAAACCTCGAACCATCCCAACCCCAACCCTCCCTCACATCCCCAAACCCCAGATCCCGTGGGAT